TTTTTCTGCATAATTTTTTTTTTTTTTTTCCCTTTTTATAAAAGATCCATGTGGTAGTAGCGGCTGGGCTCTATGCCTCGGGAAGTGTCTGATTTGCATGTTCAACCAGTGAGGGGTTCGCTTGGAGGTTCCACATTTTTGGGGACGCCTAACCATGGCGACTACACTTTTGACTTTGTTACCTTTTTAACTGTCGTAAGTCGAGCCCCTATAGCTGGTTACGTAGACCTAGCCTAACTAGACCAAGGCTCCCAAACTCGCAATGTGCCGAGGATCTAACTACAGACCCCTGACTGCTACCATAGAGGAACACCCTGATTACTCAGGGACGACCCGGAGCAGATTGGGCTATTTCCAACCTGCATCAACCTCACAGACTCTGGTGGTGAACCACACTTCTATGAACGGTACGACAACCACCCAACCCTTCCCAGATGAGTCTTCTACCTGGAGGAATCCCCTTGATGTGTACCCCTAAGTGACCTCTCCAGTGGGAATGACAGACCAGGCACTATCCCGGATGAAGCCCATCCCGCGGGCATCATAAGATTTTAACGGGGGCCCGCTTGCAGGCATCGTAAGTACATAGGACCCGTCCTTCTACGACCACTCTATAGGAAGCATGGGAGGCGGGATCGGACCAGGACCAGGGCAGGACAAGTGTGGGTTCAACCATTGGTGGACCTGTGGATAGGGAAACTCTGTGGTACCGAAGACATCTGAAGACTACCCCAGGAACCCACACAACCCCCATGGAACCTGGAGAGGTTCACACCCCTCATGTGGACTGACACCCTAACCTAGACCGACCCCTAACCTAAACCCCGTACTGGCCAGTATACTGGTGCAGACCCGATCATCGAACTGGAGGCCTGACTAAACCCTTCGAGCACCCCTCATCTCAGGAACGACCCCAATCATCGGACTATCCAAGGGTTCTGACCATTCAAGACAGCGCAGACCCGATCATCGGGTCGGAAGTCAGAACCATCGAACACCCCTCATCTGCGGAGTAGCCCCCTAGTCATCGGACCACCCCAAAGGCCGACCACTCAAAACAGTCCTCCCCCGAAGCCAGCTCCCAGCATACTAACAACATGGACCAGTCCCTTGGGCGGTGCGCAGGCAGTGTCTGTATAAACTTACCAATGCGTCGTCCCAAGGGTGGGGTGCGAATGGCTGGGTACTATGCATAACATAATTTTTAATCGTTTTTTTTTTTTTTTTTTTTTTTTGCTTGCTGGGAGCTTCCCTGGACCTTGCACAGCCGGTCCGCCCGGAAAACAAGGTGACCCCGGCGGCCCCACTGGTAGCCTAGCCCAAACAGTTTTTTTTTCAGCCATTAATTCGCCAAACACAGCTTTTTTTAGCAATTAATTGCCCAAAAAACGGCTTTAACAATTAAAATCTGCAATGCAGCTTTATAAATTAACGGCTTTAGCAATTCATTCGCCAAACACACCTTTAGCAATTCATTCGCCGCACGGCTTTCCCAGTTTTCGATTAGCCAAACGGCTTTCGCAATTAATTCGCCACAAGCGGCTTCACCAATCAGCAATCCGCCAAACGACTCCAGTCACTTACCCCTTTAAACATTTTCTTGATCATTGAATGATCCAACGGCAGATACTTATGTGTCCAGTGGATTAAAAAAAGGAAAAAGGGGGG